TTGACCTGGGCAAGCCCCACTCTTACCTATGATAAAAAGAGGGAGTTAGTCTGAAGTCAGACAGAAGGCAGGGCAAGGTAGCACCTTAGAGACTGAGCGACTCAGGGAGGCATAAACTTTTGTAAGTGACAGCAGCCTACTTCATCAGGTGGTAAGAATGGATTTGCAGAAAGCCCTTTTGCAAGTCTGTTCTTAGTATCTGATGAAGTAGATCGGGGCTGACCAAAATAAGGCCCCTGGGCCAGATCTGGCTTGTTGAGCTATGTCATCCAGCTTCCCACAGGTCTAGAAATTCAGTTGCAGGACAAGCAATGGCAACATTAATTACTGTGGCAATTGACATTGCTGCTACTCGTCCTGCCACCAGCTTTCCAGGTCTGTGAGGAGCCCTGTAGTCCAGATCTAGAGCAGGGACTCACCTTGTCTGTATTCCAGGAGTGCCCACAAGGCTGGCACTTTAGTAGTGGGAGGAGTGGTGGGTGCTGTAGCTTTAGGAGCCACAGCAATTAATGCTGCTGTCATCAAATTCCAGCCTCATGGACCAGATACAGGATCCTGCACTCTGGACCCACCTCATCTGGGCTGGATGAATTTGGTACCTCTTAAATAGACTATCACCTACAAAAACTTATGCCTCTCTGAACCAGTTACTCTAAGGTGCCACCTTGCCTTTCCTTCTTTCTTATGTCTGGTATGAAATGCCAGCTGTCCCCCTCATTTGTTCATTTTACTGGAGTCTGTGGTTCCTGTTGCCACACACAACAGTATTTGTGACATGTCTTTGTGATGCATAAATAAGAGTCAAAGCGACAGTGCTAGGGTTGGTTGGCTCTGCTCAGCACCTTTCAGCTCCTCTGTGTGGACCTCAAGGTGCTGTATGCAACACAGCCAGTCCTGTTCACCCCATTTGTTAGATAAGTAAGTACTCTGTGAGCCTTGTGCTAGGTGTGCGCCTTAGCAGTTTACCTAAAAACGTTGCTTGCTAAATTGTACCAGAGTTCCTTCTCTGTGTCTGTATCTTCAAACAATTTTTTTCTGTAGGCTCCCTGAGGGGGAGCAGAGGGCTGACTAATTGATTACTATTTTGCCAGCATTGTGGTACACTCTTCTCTAACATGAGACAGAACCAGCGGAAGCAGGCTGCCAAATATGCACACCCAAGCTGTCATGAAACCTACTACTGGGTCCCTTTTTGCTAATTACCCTTAGCTACTATGCATGGTTCCTGGTTTTGGGAGCACTTGAGTGACTGTGTTGCAGTGTGTGCAGCCCATTATTCTATCAGGCTTCAGAAATGAACATTTCCACATGGAAAAGAATCTGGTGTGAGGTCAAGAAATGGTTTTCCAAGGCACCCTCAACAGCAGATGGCCACTGCTAATTCAAGAGTTATTTAATAAGATAGAGAGACTGGGTTTCAGTGTGTCACTTTGGCTTCATTTATTGGCTGTCTGAGGAAGAGCTGCCATCTAAACTCTGTTCCTTGTCTCCATTTGAGCCTTGTTCAGTAGCGAACTGTTAAAGCCAGCTGAATTCGACTAAGGGGTAGGAGAGGGTTCAGACTGGGCCAAGTTGCCAAATCAGCAACTCGGTTTGCCAGAAATGAAATGGAACAACCAGTTTCACCCCAGGGCAGTGAGGAACAATTTGAGTTTGTGCATTAATGAAATTGGAGCTGTTAATTGCTCAGTGCTTGGGAATACACTTTGTGACATTCGTGTTTAGCACAGGTCATTCGAACAAAGACTGTTTCAAGTACAGAGAAAATGGTCTAAAAATACCATTTTTTTTTGCCTCCAGCTGGAGCTGATTTAGGAGCTGCTGCATTCTTTGTTGAAATGTGCTGGAAGACAATAGTGAGATGAAAATTTTGAGACTATAATTTTATTCTCCTCTCACCCCATCCCCGGCCCAAACATGGAGTGGCTGGTGCAAGCACAGAGAAAAAAACAACTGTTTTTCTTGGTCAGAGGTTCCAAGATTCAAATCTCTTTTCTTTTTTCTCTGGAATCTTTCACTGACCCCAAAAAGGTGCTTTCTGGCTTTCTAATTGTAGAGAAAATGTTTAGTTTAAAAAAAAAATCTTTTCTGCTTATTTTTTTTCTTACCACCACTGCAGATATGCAGTAAATAGTTATGAACCCCTCTGTTTCTTATCTTCAGTGATTGCAAAAAAGTGCAAAATTATGCAGTTTCTCTTGTCTTAGCTTTTTTCATTTATGTCCAATCCTTCTGTCCAGGTCAGAAGGGGAGGCATGAAGCAAACTCTGGTATGCTTTTTTTTTTGTTTTGTTTTTTGCCTTCTTCAAGCATAAATCTTCTGTCAGAAAATATTCCTGCAAACTGACATGAGTTAACATCTCAGCTTTGTCTGAATGTGATCTTGATGATGTGATGAAAGGTTTTTAATCATCCCCTGCTACATTCATATGAATGCAGTGTCTCTAGATCAGTTTATCACAGATTTTGAAGCATGAAACTGAACTACTCAGTGTCCATCCTGACATGATGTGTCATGAGGTGCTGGGAGGGTAGGACAGTACTGCTGCTGTTCTATGCAGCACTGAGCTAAGAGAGCTACTACTGCACTACAACATGGTGCACCTTTAATTTCCCTCCCAACTGGATGTAAAAAGTCTGGTCTGAGTTTCTGATGGGAAGGAGTGTCTCATCTCGCCATCTGCTGATGCTAACGGAATTGCTGGCACCTCTTGTGCCTTGGACTCATGTTGCTCTCATGCTCAACCTGCTTGTTCTCATGCTGTCCATCTCTGCTCTTCTCTCCCATAGGTAACTGACCGGCTTCCCTGGTTTTTGATGCTGAAGCAGGATTGTTTTAACTAAAGATGGAAACACTGGAGTCGGAATTGACCTGCCCAATCTGCCTGGAGTTATTTGAAGACCCTCTCTTGCTGCCCTGTGCTCATAGCCTGTGCTTCAGTTGTGCCCATCGCATCCTGGTGTCCAGCTGCTCATCTAGCGAGTCAATAGAGCCTATCACAGCATTCCAGTGCCCCACCTGTAGGTATGTCATCTCCCTTAACCACCGTGGCCTAGAGGGTCTCAAGCGGAATGTGACACTGCAGAATATTATTGACCGCTTCCAAAAGGCATCTCTGAGTGGCCCCAACTCCCCCAGCGAGAGTCGCAGAGAGAGAACTTACCGCAACAGCCCTACCATGTCTAGTGAAAGAATAGCATGTCAGTTTTGTGAGCAGGATCCACCAAGGGACGCAGTGAAGACCTGCATAACATGTGAGGTGTCCTACTGTGATCGCTGCCTCCGGGCTACGCATCCCAACAAGAAGCCTTTCACAAGCCACCGTCTGGTGGAGCCTGTGCCAGACACACATTTCCGAGGACTCACTTGCTTTGAGCATGAGAACGAGAAAGTAAACATGTACTGTGTTGCTGATGACCAGCTGATCTGTGCCTTATGCAAACTGGTGGGCCGCCACAGGGATCACCAGGTGGCATCCCTAAGTGATAGATTTGAGAAGCTCAAGGTAAGAGCCACAGGCTTTTTTTCTACCTAGAAGGGACTGGTGGGAGCTATGGAGCCTTTGCTACTTTTTGGTCATGTCAGAAAATAAGGGTATCAACCTATGCCAAAGAGTAACATACCAAAATTAAAGGGCTGCTGTTCATTTCCATGAAGTGGAGTAGGTTTCAGCCTTTAATATGAAGTCTGAGAGCAAGACAGATTACTGTATGCTGGGATCTGTAGTTTCTGTTAGGCTTAAGGTCTGTAACAAAGGTGAAATATAATGAGTTGGAGACTGGAACACCATGATATGATACTCTTTGGCCAGTGTATTCAGTGTCTCGTATACCCCAATAAGCCTTCAAAGCTGGAAAGATCTGGCTCCTTTGATAACTGAGATTTTGTATGTTGCTTAAACATTGTGATCACCAGAGCCTTAGTACCAAGACCCTTAAGAAAATCTAAGGCCTAGCTGTATCTTGCTCATCTGATTGCAGTGAAGTAATTTGTTTTCTGCTGATTTGTGTCACAAGTCTAGTCATCGAACATTGTAGCAGAATCAATGAGACCACAAAACATGAAGAAAGCTTTCCCGGTGCCTAAAATTAGAGTCAGTGTGTACAGCGGATAATGCAGCGGTGGTTCTGGATAACAGAACTAAGGGTGTCAACAGCAGAGGTTGCTGGGCTGGTTCTGGGCAATGGGTATTGGGGAAGCTTCAAGACAAATCCAGGTCTGGGACTAATGGGAGTACAAGAGACCTTTCAAGGTCATGGAAGAGCCAGTGCTCAGTGTAAGCAGTGTATGCAAGGGATTTACCAGTAGCAGCAATGGATACTTAGTGCTGTTGTGGCCTCTGGATTTCAACAATTGGTTTAGTACTTGCTGTGCAAATTCGCCAGAGGAACTGAACAGTCTTCCTCGCATGCCCTAGAAGGTTTCTCAGGTCTCCAGAAAGCTCATCCTCCTCCTAGATCCATTTTCTAGGTTTGGTATTTTCGGTGAAAGAAGAGGGTTCCAGGGGATGGGGTGCATTTGACTCTCAAATGTTGAGTCAAGCCAAGTCTCCTTAAGCTGACACAGAGGTACTGCTATCTACAGCTTTGTAATGAACTGATTTTGCAGCTTTTTTATGTCCTAGAGACCAAAGTGCCCTGTCAGTTCAGCACCACAGAGGAATTTTCTGGGGTATATTCCTGTTGTGCTTCTCCAGTCCAGTATGTCCAAACACAATGGTGCAACACAATGGTTAACTCCTGTTCTGTGAGATAAGGCCCAGAAAATGAAGGTGACTCAGTGACACCTGGCTAGTATGCAAGTACTGCTTGGTGAATGGTAACTGTGTGCTGAGGACAGAAGCGTGCCTGACATCATGTCCACACCTTTTCTGTAGAGCCTGCCTGTCTGCCTTTCTGTTCAGGCTCTGGAATCTCCAATATGCTATTGGTTTACAATGACAGACAGACTTGTCAGCTACACTTGCCAAGATAATGAAAAGGCTTATTTGAGAGCAGGGAAGTCTGTTTCTTCTTTGTCGCGGGGGGAAGGGAGGCAAGCTTTCTCTGAAGCAGAGCTGACTGTAAGAACAGGATTGTTACTAGCCTAGAGCTGAATTCCACAGACCTCAGCCCAATTCTTGTGCTTGGAGTATAGGAAACATGCAGGGGCCCTGGGGGCTGCATGTAGATGATGGAGAGAGAGTGCTGTGAAGACAGCTAATTACTTTGAAGTATAAAGAGCATAGGGTGCCCCTTCCCCAACTTGTTCCATGTATTCTGCACTTAATGTTAGCTGCTTTGCCTCTTGAGGGCCATTGTTGCTCTGGGGTTTCTGTAGGGCATCTCTTTTGTGATCCAGCCAGGTATTGGGTTGGATATTCAAAGGGAGACATCCTTGCTGCAAAAATTTAGGAAGATATCAAGAGAGCTGAAGAAATGAAGATCCTAGGTGACCTGAGAGACCTTTTCTGTTCTGAGTTGTACGATACAGCTGATCTGAAACCTTTTTGATGATTAATGACCATGCGTCTAGATGCTCTGAGATGTGGTATGGGGTCTTGTGTTAGACTGAAAATTTCTGTCTAGCTGTGTGTCCATTGTCCTTGATACATTTTAATTTCTGGAAGAATGGTTACTGCTAGGTACTGCTCATTGGTCACTTGCTATCAGTTGGTTCTTCCTTTATCAATCTCCAATCAGCCATTGTCACTGCAGAATCTGAGCTGGGGGCAGCTTCTTTCGGTACCAGTGCTGCTCCAAGGGTAACATTGCCAGTACTGATGACATGCAAAGGAGAGAGAGCATCAGATGGTCTTCAGCCTCCCAACCTTGATGTCCAAAGTCATCCATCCATCCATCCATCCATCCATCCAGCATGTTGTTGCTTTAGATATGAATATATTTTATTTACAATCCCCTCAGGAAGTTCTGTTACCCCATTTTGCACATTTAATTAAGGAGCACTGTGGATTAAGTGATTCTTACAAGGGCACATGGAGTGTCTGTGACAGCTGGGAACTAGGGCTGTGCAAAGCTTCGGGTGGTGATTTGATTCGGAGAAGATTTAGCCTGATTTGGTGGCTGAATCTCTGAATCCAAATTGAATCGGGGCCAGTTAAAAGGTCTGAATTGATTCAAAGCTCTCCGAATCTTTGGAAAAGATTTGGAGAACTTCGATGATTTGGGCAGTCCCCGGTGGCTGCGGAGCTGGTAAGTAGGAGCAGTGGAGGGGAGGCTGCGGGGGGGAGGGGACCATGGGGGGACCTGCCAGGTCCCATCCCCTGCTTGCTCCCCCCCCTTCCTGCCTGCTTCCTCAGCCCCCCCTTGGCTGCCCCCCCACTTCGATGATTTGGGCAGTCCCCGGTGGCTGCGGAGCTGGTAAGTAGGAGCAGTGGAGGGGAGGCTGCGGGGGGGAGGGGACCATGGGGGCA